TGTGTGTGTGTGTGTGTGTGTGTGAGTGACGCTGTTTTACCGGGCAGAGTCCACAGGGCGTCTTGACGAGGCCGGTGGGTTGGATGACGGGATTGACACCTCGGAACAACTTCATCTGTCCGTCCACGCTGCCCACTGTTCCCTCCTTGGCGGCGATGACGGTCATTTCCACCTTTCCGTCGTAGATCAGCGTGTTCAGGATGGTCTCAATGTCGTCCATGGACAGATCCACCTGTAAGCACCCATCAATAAAACTTCATGTCGCCCCCCCCACACTCAGACAATAACCCTGAGGTGTGTGATGTCACAAAAGGGGCGGTGCTACAAACATCACCTTGCTGATTCCCAGCTCACAGATGTACTTCCAGACTTCATGTGAAGTGGCAAAGGACGAGTTCCTCTGAACCATCGGACTCTGTTTACTGTCCCTCGCTGCTTCCGCCTGAACACACACACACACACACACACACACACACACACACACACAAACACACACAGTGTGACTCAGCTGCCCCCTGCTGGTCTTTACTGGATCAGACCACATCCTGTTTATATCAAGAATTGAGGTGCATTCAGAAAGTCCAAATAATCTTATTTCCGAACCTATTCCTTGACCCTGTGACGTGTTCCATTATGAAAGATGTGAAGGAGAAGCTATAAGGAGTTAGGAAAGGAGAACCACTGTGTAGAGAAAATCCGACTCCTGACTGGACAGATGTGAGAAATCAGACGATCATGTGAGGATTCACATCTGGATAATAAAAATAAAACAGCAGGGTCTGTCCGATGTTTCCTCTGCTAAAGAAGATACGTCAGGAAGCGTTGAAGCTCCTTTCCTCATCGTTTAGAGAATTAGAAAATCTCTTATTATGGCGGCTGCTTAAACACGTCCGGTCATTTCACTCAGTTAAGAAGGTTCCTAAGCAAAATGGATTATTTGAACACAGCCCTAGATTCTCATGTGTGGGATTGTTGGCGGAGGGATACGCTGGGACAGTGAGTTGGTCTTTATGTCTGAAACTAGCATAAAAATGTGTTTAGTTTTTATCTCATTCATCGAGATCACTGTTTATCGTTTTATCATCTTCATCATTTTTATTGTGTTTTGCATTTTCCTGTTTTTGTTTTCTTCATTTTCTTTGTGCGTGAACTTTAACATTTCAAAGTTCATCACTGTTGCTTCTTCTTTTCACTGATCTGTTATTAGAGCGACTCGGAGAAGTGAATCTGTTAAAGTAAAGTTTTAATACCTTGCTCTGTAGAAACTTGAAACACTGCTGGTTGAGAACTTCGACAAACTCAGACTCGAAGTCCTGGTCACTGTACCAGGCGCCGCCGGTCACCGAGCGGTCCGGCTGCAGGTTGTAGAGCATGTACACCTTCTTCTTCGACGCCTGCAGCCACAAACACACAAGAATGAGCAGAAACAAACTGGCATCTCCACAGGCGCTCACATGATCAGACGATGAACTGACGGTGGATCACTGAACTCACAGCCACAGATTTCACAGCTTTGATCAGTTTCTTGCTCTCCAGGTTCTTCAGGATCTTGTTGACCTCTGTCAGAGGAAGGTTGCTCTTGAAGCGAATGTCTCGGCTCCAGATTCCTGCAGCAATAAACACACTCGTCACAAACATGACAAGTGGACAAAGCAGCAACTTGAGCGGCATCGTACCTTTGTTTCCTGCGTCCTCGATGACCTGATAAACCAGCTTCTCCTGGTTGTCGGAACCTTTCATCTTCCTGAATAAGGAAGAACCGAGAGCAGCTCAGAGTCGGGTTCTATTACAGGAACAGCTGAGATCATCAGCAGGTCAGAGGCTTTTAGAAATGATAAGTGACAATAATAATAATACGACTTTTAATTCATACATAAAAAAACATCAGCAGTAAAAGACAACACAGAAACAGATCAGAGATCAGGACTTCAGTGTGAAGGTGAAAAGTCATCTGCAGTCAGAGTCTGTGCAGTGGTATCAAGGTCCTGTCCCCACACAAGTCAGTTGAAATGACAGAAACCATCTTTGGAAACATTTCTTTTATGTCTTTGATTTTTTTCTGTTTGGTCCACATCCCATCTGCTAACTGCTATACTGCTCCAGCCACCAGGGGGCAATCATAACATTTTGGCTTCACTTCTGAAAGCTGTTTTGTGATCCATCTTTATTTATTGATGTGTTTGTCCTTTGTTTGGGACATCAGTGCCCTCCGGTGGACGAACTGAGAATGTTTGATGAATTTTAATCATCGGCTTTAAAGCTTCTCACTTCCTGAATGGCGTCAGATGTTCACACGGCTGCTGTAATGTGTTGTTGTAGTGTCGTTGTGTAGTTACGGTGTGTGCTGTGTTTACCCGGCGCTCTGCGAGTCCTTCAGTCTGTACAGGAGACCTGAGCTGTTCCTCAGCAGGTCCAGCTGACCCTGGAACACCAATGACATCATCAGTGATCAGGGATCGTTTGCAGTGTGACAGGGTGACATCATTAGTACACTGACCAATGAGAGCAGCTTGTTGATGGCCATGGCTCTCTGCTGAGGCTCCAGGTGAGGGAGGTCATTCTGGATCACCTGGTCTGTGATGCCATGAGGAAACTGGTGACACAGCTCTTTAATCCTAACACACACACACACACACACACACACAC